AATAGGTAACTTAGCATCTTAGTCGGTAGAGCTACCTTAGTAGCTTGGTAGATGTATTCTTATTTTACGAGTTGTTGTTGGTGTATTATTAAGTGTTGCATCATCATTTTATGCATGTAGATAACGAGTTGGTAGAGCTCATGCTTACGGGCGAGCATGAGTACGAGGAGATCATCGAGGAGTACAAGGAGGAGATTCTTATATAGGAGGGAGCCCCGGAGTCATCAGCTGCTGACTTTGTTGACACCCCGCCTGCCCAAGGCAAGCCTCGGTGCGTAACCCTTATTTTGAATGATCGTTGAATATATATATATATATATGATGTGCATTTACGTTATAGGTATTTTATGGAAACTACATGCATAGATATACCTACCTATGAGTTCTACTAGCATAGGGCGAGTAGTTGCTATGCTTAGGATTTCGGTAGCGTGAGTAACCTGCCGTTACTCACAATAGGTGATTATTATTATCACTCATGATAAAAATGGTGAAAGGAAAATGGAGATCGGGCAGGGATATGGTTCAGGTATTGGTGGGTGTAAGAAGTTGTGTCCTGCGGCCAACAGGGCATAGCTTGGTTACACTGTTTTCCTGTCTGTGTCGGTAAAGGATCGGCCGTTGCATTGGGTTCTAGGCAAGTCACAGACTTATTATCCCAAACACATACTTGTGTATGGGCGCAGGGAAGGCTTGTCGCTCTCTTATCGTGGATTTCGGCTCTTTCCAGACCGACTGATTGGGGGCAGGGATGGTGGAGGTCTAAGCACCGCACTGAGTCTGGGACTGAGGAGCGGGGGCTTAGAGTCCAAGTTTGGATGGGGACCTAGACCCCGTGACAGGAGAATGGTGGGTTGGTCCTGCTTGTGCCTGGGGTACAAGCAGGCGTGTGTCTCGGGGTACCCAGCTGGGCACATTGATTCACGAATCGCCGGGCGATCTGGTACGGCTTGTCTACAGTCTAGCACCATAGTAAGAACTAAAAGAGGAAAGGTGGTGAAATGGAACTGTTTGCTTAACCCTTGCTTGAAAGTGGAATAGGTGCTTACATAGAATGGTTAGATAATGAACTAATCATGGCTGCTAATAATAAGCATACATAAGGATTCACTATTAGGATTGCTTTCCGCAAAAAGAAAAACCAGCAAACCATAAAGCTTATCATATCTCTTGGAGTCGAGAAATTATTCCCATTAGTTGGATAAGTCTTGCGAGTACATTGTGTACTCAGGGTTTATTTACCCCTATTGCAGATATAGCTTGAGGAGCAGCCGTTGTGTGAAGGATTCTTCTGGTGGGCATAGGTGAATCCTTGTATATTATCGATAGATGTTTCTTTTCATTCCGCTGTTTCATTTCCGCACTTTGAATTTGGTCCTATAATAATGTATTTCAAAGAACTCTGGATGTATGAAATAGACTAAGTAATGTAAACTTGTTCTCATTATTGGATCCTGAGGAAAAAAAGTGGATTATTCGGGCCCTCCCTTGGGGTGTGCTCGACGGAATCCGCCCGATGTAGCTCGCTCTCGGGGTGCTTAGTGTCTAGTGGAAGACAATCACCTCCGTAAGTGCATTATTTCGGGCGGTTCTGCCACACTCCGCCTGCACCGCTCGTAGACGTCGCCCCTGCCAGCACCGCCCCCGCTCGTGGGACGTCCGCTCACCGGCGCCGCCCCACCAGCGCCGACCCCACTCGTGGCTCGTGGGACGGACTCCTCTGGTGCCGCCCTAGCCCAGACTTGCGCCTACTGTCGTGGTCGCGCTCCATCCGCCTACCGCAGCCACTGTCGAGGTCTGTGCCGCCAACGAGCTCTGCACCGGCGTCGAGCTCACAACGACGAGCTCCATTCATCCAAGCAAGAAGGTGACATTGCGCTGAAAGCGCATGTTGCAAGCGATGTTTCAAGTGTTTCAGTTGTTTCAGAGGTATGCTACTAGGGTTTCGTTTGGATGTTGCAAAAGTAGATCGAGATGTTGCATATGTTGTAATGGTTCTACACTTATGTTGCAAAAGTATGCTCCCAATGTTTCATCTATTTTTTCAGACGTATGTTGCAAGTGTGTTTATCTAGATGTTGCATATGTTTCACACATATGTTACAAGTATTTATCTCGATGTTACATATTGTTGCAAGGGTTTTTCAAGTGTTTTTAAGTGTTCTAGACCCATGTTTCAAACGTTTCATCTGTCTTTAGACGTACGTTGCAAGTGTTATATCTGGATGTTTTAAAAGTAGATCTGGTGTTGCATCTCCCTCCTCGCCTTGTGCTGCCTTGCCTTGGTGTCTCCTCCTCGCCTTCTGCTGCCTTGCATGCTTCTCAGACTAGGGAGAGGGCGTGCCAGGGGCCGGCGGAGAGGGTGCGTAGGGGGATGGTGGCGCGAACGGAAGCACATGCTCTCCCCTTCCGTTACGCGGGCAGGTAGCGTTTTGGTTCACTTTTTCTGTTACGTGGGGTTGCTTAGATGGGATGCTCCCGTTGGTGGACCTAAGACTGGGAGATTGGTCATGATTCGATTAGCTAGGACCAGGACCTTTGTGTGGACTTTCGGACGGTAGTGCCTCCGTTTGAAAAAAAGAAATAGTGGTTTTTTGTTATTTACTCATAAGTCTCTTGTTCGGCGGCATGTCGGTTGCCGAGGTCATGCCGCCATCGGCCACCACCGGCAATCCCACCGCCACACGCCTCGTGCAACTTTGAATAGACCAAACGCTGCTAGCCACTGTGCCATCGCCCTTCGCCCGCAACCTCGGTCCCATTCTCTGATCGCACCTGTTATTAGTGCAACTTCGTCATGGACGAAGACCCTCGTGACCCCCGCATCGTCCTCGCGAGGTGACTCGGGGGGTGACCCGCCGCCCACCGCGAGAACCCCCCCTCCTGGCACCCCCTTCGGCTGTTGCTGCTGCTCGCCGACGAGTGGTGCGGCGGCCCACGACGGCGCTAAAAACGACAGCTTGCTGCAGCTTCCTCTCCCATCCACTCTCCCTCCTCCTCCCCGCTCCTCCCCCTCATCCCTGATACCTTGCTCCGGTGAATTGCTCGGCCGGCGGGGCGGATCTGGGCCTCCCATGGCCGGATCTGCCGTCCTCTGCCCTAGATCTACGGCCTTGCGGCTGGTGGCGCGGCGCTTCTCCCCCATGCATGAAGCTCCTTTGGCGCCACATACCTCCCTGGAGGCGTCGTTCTCTGAGCCCCATGCTCCTGTGCCACCGGTTTCTAGGCGAAAGCCCTGCCTTAGAAGCCTCTAAGGCCAGCGGCGATGGCGTCCATGTCACTGCCATGGGCGTCCTCCCCTGCCTATTGCGCTTCATTTCCACTCGCAGTGGTCTGTCCTGCAGCTATTGACCTTGCCTGGTTTGTTGTCGTGGATATCATAGTGGATGCTTTGCCACTGTTGCTTATCTCCCGGCGGATGCTTGGCCACTAGTTAGTTCGTTGGCAGATGCTTTGTCGTCGTTTGGTTTGCTGGCGGATGCTTTGCCACCGTTGTCGTTGGCCTCTTCTCTAGCAGATATTTTGCTGTCGAGAGTGACCTGGCCCTTCCCCCGCTACGGATGCTTTGTCGTAGTGGGTGTCTTCGCTTCTTCCCCGGCGGATGCTTGGTTGCTGGTTGGTTCGTTGACGGATGCTTCGCCACCGTTGCTGCTGGACGGTCTCCTGTGTAGGCGACCATTGCGATGTTGTATCTTTTTTTACAGGCTCAGTTCGTATATTTTAGGTGTTGTGGGCAGTCGTCTTCTTTTGTATCTTTTTTCTTGTTCTTAGTTTCTACTCCAGGTCACTCACAAGTTGTTTGTAATCTGTGCTATGAGGGTTCTCTCGTAGCTATATCGTGTAATTCTCTCGGTTTAATGAAAAACGGGCTATATTCCCCCGTCGCGAAAAAAAATTCTCTGATCGCCGGGCGGGCGGCAAGCACCAATTCTGCAGTAGCTCCTCCCTCTCCAACCACCACCACCATCAGCGCGCCGTGACCTGGGATCCCGAGTTCATCTTCCTCGCGCCTTCGTCGATGCCCTCGGGCTGCTCGACGCAATGCCGGTCTTGGTCATAAGGGCATTGATCCTTTGGGAGCGGATCAAGGTGCCGCCGTCCCGGAAGCAGCGTGCAGGCTGTTCGATGAAATGGCACTGTTGGATTGGATTCCGTCACCGAAGTGGGGTTCCTTGGACGATACTGCGCGCTGCAATGGATTAGATTCTTCACCATGTCTTCTCTTGCATAGTTGCATGGTTTGTACTCAGTACTTTGGATCGTTGGAATGCATCGTCATGTTAGCGTGTGATCCTACACTGTTCTACACTCTGTTCAGCCGGTGGCAGTTTTATCCCAATTGACGACCAGGCATCGAGTAATACTCTCATTCTGAACCAAACCACAAATTGTTTGCTTTTAGTCATTCCATATCCTACTCTTAAGCTCCAGTGGTTTGTGAATTCTGTGAATCGGAACCCAAGATCTGAGTAACAGCACTTAAGAGCATTACTGTCAGTACTTGGGTTAGTAAGGTACTCAATGAGCTTGACTTGACATTTTTTTTTGTTTACTTCTTTCTTCACAATGCTTGAGAAAACTAAACAGCATACATGTTACATATCACCTCAAGAAAAAGAAGGGGATGGGGTATGGTCCAGATGGATTCTTTACTCAAAGAAGTACACAGGTCTCAGTATGTGCAAAAAAACTGTACAAGACACTATAACACTAGTAGAACTCAAAACTAGTACCTCTTGTTAAAGATACATGTACTCTATGCATGAAATTACAATATTCTCACGTATAACTGGCTAACTGTATTGTCTTGACTGACTTTTGTGTCTGCAGGTCAACATTGATGCTTTCCAGGCATGTAACTACTTCCATGATATGTGGCCTCATGCTAGGGTTATAGTTCACACATTTGCAGGCAACCTCAAGCACCTTTAGCATTTGCTCTTCATGCCCTGTGCCACAGAGTGTTGGATCCAGAACATCAACTTCCTTTCCCTGAGAGCTCATCTCCAGCACCCATGGGACAAGTTCTTTGATGTTGTCTGGACTGGAACAGGTCGCAACCCTGTGAGCAGCTCAAGAAGGACAACTCCGAAGCTGTATATATCACCTCTCAGAGTGGCCACCCATCCATGCGCATACTCAGGGGGGATGTAACCTAGAGTGCCAACTAACTCTGTCGTGACATCGGTTTTGTTCGAAAGGATCAACCTTGACAGTCCAAAATCTGCAACATAAGCTTTTAATTCTTTGTCGAGTAGGATGTTGCTGCATTTGATGTCACGGTGCACAATGTGAGGTTTGCAGTCATTATGGATATAAGAAAGGCCACGGCTTGCTCCTTGCGCAATCCTGAGCCTTGTTGGCCAGTCAAGAAATGTGCTGGCATCGTCATCCCTGTTGTGAAGCCAATCGTCCAGGCTGCCATTCTCCATGTAGGAGTATATGAGGAACCTTGAGTTTCCCTGGATGCAGTATCCCCACAGTGGCACAAGATGGTCATGCTTAGCCATGGACAGTGCTTCAACCTCTGCAGTGAACTCCCTTTCCATCAAGCACATTTCACCATTGAGCTTCTTGATGGCGAGCTTGCAGCCATCAGGTAGCTCAGCCTTGTAGACTAGACCATAGCCACCACACCCAATGATGTTTTCTTTGTTGAAGTTATCTGTAGCTTTTACAATGTCAGAGAATGTGAGCTTTCTTTCTTCTCCCTTTCCTCGTGTCATCATGATCAGTTCGTGCTCTGAGCTGGAGTTGAATGAAAATGTTTCAAAATCTCCATTATCCTCCCTTCTACTTTGGGCTGTTAGATTATTAGCCTTGATTGAGACAAGGACACGCCACAGCAGCAAAAGAATGGCAATTGCTGAAAAGAACACGCCAAGTGCAATTGCAACAATGGCCTTCTTATTTCTTCCGTTTGTGGATACCAGAGGCTCATCAGCTGAATCGCATCGATGACCGAGCATAGAGCCACACAACTTCGGATTCCCCAAAAGGCTGGAATTCTGAAATGTGCTAAATTGGCCACCAGTTGGAATAGGCCCTTCTAGGTCATTGTTAGAAATGTTGAATGTAGAAAGGAAGTGCAGATTCTCCAATGCAACTGGGATTTTACCTGTGAGATTATTGTTGGATAAATCTAGCACCAGCAGGTTTGTGAGATTGCAGATAGATGGGGGGATCGGTCCAGTTAAGTTGTTGGATCTGATATCAAGTGAAAGGAGGGCTTTCAACTGACCAATCTCTGGGGGAATCAGACCTGTGAATTTGTTTCTGCTTAGATTTAGAAATTTGGAAAAGCAATTGGTATGCGGTATTGACGTGATGGACCATCATAAACTGGCAGATAAAAAACGCTTGCGTCCAAATGAGCTGCAGTCTTCTCTGAAGTTAGCATTGCCATATTCATTAATTCTTTCGGAATTTCCCCTGTGAGGTTGTTGTTTGATATGTCTAAATAGAAAAGGTAGTCCAGTGTGTCGATCCAGGTTGGTATAGGTCCACTGAGTTGATTGCCATTTAAAAACAACATTTCCAAATTTACTAACTTTGATATCCAAAGAGGTATTTCCCCCGATAGGAGGCAACTTCCGATGTCCAAAACCTGAAGATTCTCAAAACCATAAATTTCGGCATCATCTGGTATGGTTTCGTTGAAGAAATTGATCCCAAAAAGAAGTGTGGTCAGGTTCTTGGAGCTCCTTAGTATCTGAAGTGAATTTGCTATATTTGAAAGACTGTTGTTTGTAAGCGACAGGAACGAGAGGGACTTCAGATTGCCTAGTCCTTCTGATAATTGTCCATGGAACTTATTCGAAGATAGCCGTAGTGCAGTCAGGTTTCTACAGGAGTATATGCTTTCTGGAATTGTGCCACTGAAGTTATTCAGCATAAGATCTATGGTTCGTAGATTGGGCATATTGTTGAAATTAACCTTGGAGAGTTCACCACTGAAACTGTTGCTCTTAAGGTCTATAGTTATGAGATCTGTGCAGTTGCTCAGGGTTGATGGCAGCTCCCCATACATGCTATTATAGTCCAGACGAAGTTCCTGCAATCTCTTGAGTTGACCTATGGAATCAGGTATCTTGCCGCTGAAATTGTTTTCTCCAAGATCAAGGATAACCAGATTGGAGAGTTTGGCTATATGTGTAACATCAAGTATTCCATGTAAACAGTTGCTGGAAAAAGAGAGATATTCCAACGAGGTAGCATTGAAAAGTTCATGGGGGAGAGTCCCATTGAGGTTGTTGTGGCCAGCCTTGAGTACTCTGAGCATGGAGCAATTACCAAGCCCTGGGGGGATACTGCCACTGAATTTGTTGTAACTGAGTTCAAGCACAGCAAAGGATGGTGCTATGTTACAGAAATGACTTGGAATCTGCCCAGTTAAGCTGTTATTGCTGGCATTCAGTGCAATCAGATTCTGCATCCCCTTCCATGTTGTGGATGTAAACTGCCCTTTAAACAAGTTGCTCGAGATGTTAAGTACCTGTAGAGGCTGGCCCGGGGTTGAAGCTGGCAGCTCAATCAGGTCTCCACTGAGCTGGTTGAAGCTGACGTCGAGGACGATGATGCTGCTGGATGACACCAATCCGAGCGGAAGGCCACCGGACAGTGAGTTGTAGGACAAGTTTAGGTACTGCAGGTCGGTGAGGTTCCCAAGGGACTGCGAGATATGCCCCTCAAGGCCCCTGTAAGGCAGCGAGACAGCACTGACTGTCCCATTTTGGTTGCAGGTGATTCCTTCCCATTTGCAGCACTCAGTACCTTGCCAAAGCTTGGTGAGACCGGCATCCTGCGAGAGCTCTGAGAGGAACTGGAGGAGGGATGACCTCTCCAGCTCCATGCAGGACGAACTGGTGCAAGGCGCCAAGGGGATGAGCAGCACAAGGGTAAGGCCAATGGAAGGTATGTGAAATCTGTTTCGGTTCCTCTTGTATGAAAAGTGGAGTGGCTGCATGGCTTCCTATTGAAACTATCATGGGAACCAGATGCTTAAGTTATGCCCTGTTTAGACGAACTACCAATTGTCTAAACAGGGAAGAGCATGAGATAGAAGTAGGAGGAGGAGGCTCTTGGCTCTTGCTTTTCCCTTGATAGCCGTGGCCACCCAAAGAAAAATGGAGTCAAGGATTGGATGCTAGAACAAAATGCTCATTATGGTTCTATTTTATACACCAGACGAAGCAGCCTGCTTGTTCACACTTTGACGTTTCATTGGTGGCTACCTGATCCATCTGAACAAGCTTCTTGGCCATATAAAATATTTGCCTTCTCCGAGTCATCATTAAACAATCCTGGCTGAATTATTATTACAGGCTGCCGAGATTTACCTGATCAGACATAACTTCTTGTGACAGATTTGACTGGATATACAGCCTGCCTTTTCTATCTGATATCAGGATATGACGTCATTTGTGCTACCACTTCAGCTAGCCAACCTGTTGTCTTAACCTTAGTAGCTAGTACTGAAAAGGTAAAAATGGAACCACTGCTTGATGAATGTTTCTATTTTCATACATAATGCGCCTTTTTTTTTGTTAACAGGAAAAGTTACACGTTTCCCAAAGAAACTGAAGATCTTCAAGATTCAATTTTTAAGCCACTACAGTACACGAAGAGCATCCCTCCGGGGCGCTCGTGCAATAATTTAGATCAATCATCGACGCTGCGGTCAGGGTATCAACGTGGTTTGGACTTTGGAGAATAGCATTTGTCGCAAGTGGAGGCTGGAGAAATAAGAAAGGGAGAGAGGATGATGAAGGTGGTGGCTGAGGGCGACCTGGTGCCCTACTCTTCGTCTGATTGGCTGCCTCGGCGCCGAGGCGTTTACTTTCTGTTATCCTTGCAGCTGATGCAGTGATGTGCACGCTAGCGGTTGTTTCCATGGCCCCTGACCCTGATCCACAGGTACACTGGTACCTTGCCCCGGCGGCTCTTGTTGGTGACCGGAATCCAGAAGCGCTCCTCGAAGCACCCGGAGTGGAGCGCATGAAGCAAGCTGCTGTGAACATGGCCTATTTTTTTAGGTCAACTTCGGGGGATCGTAATAGATCCCCACCTGCATTATTACGATCCCCACCTGCATTCCATTCCACAGTACCCGTGAGAACCTGGTTGGTGGAAGGCAGAGCCTTGCACGGTTTTACATCATAGGATTACAAGTTCGGGATGGGGGGCGTTTAGATTTACATAGAAAATGCTAATCTCTAGCTGTTGGCCATTGCTTCTTCTTTTCTTGGGATGCGGCAACTCCAGTTCTTGATGGACTCCTTGCATGCCGAGGTGAGGCGGGCAATGTTGGGTGGCATCCCACGGAAGACAACATCGTTCCTGTGCTTCCAGATTTCCAGCATAAGAGCAGGAGCAGGGGATGAAGGACCTTCTTTGCAATGCGCTGGGGGGGTAGTGTTCCAAAGCTCCTGAACCTTAGCAATGTTGCCTGGGAGCCATCCGATTGCTGTCTAGAAGCTTTGGACGAACAGGCACTCGGAGAAGATGTGGTCTGCCGACTCCGCCGCCGCCTTGCAAATTTCACAAGCTGCGTCCTCAAGGATGTTCTTATGAGCCAGGGCTTGACGACAGTGGATCATGTTCTTCGTGAGGAGCCAGCCGAAGAACTTGACGCGTGGCGGGGCGAAACTCTTCCAGACAAAGTCGTAGGCGGCGCAATCGTGGTCACCGTGCGTCGAGACCTTGTAGATGAGTCCCGACACGAGTCGGTGCCCACCATCTTCGAAGAAGCAAGAGCGTTCATCTGGCCCCAAGCCCAGCGTGACCTCCTGGACCATCTAGGAGAGTTGATCGAGCTCTATCGAAGCTTGAGGTGTGAACCGGCGCTGGAACAGGTCATGTCGGCTCGCGCGCACGACGTCACGCACAGATGTGGCGTGGGCGACGTAGTGGCTGAAGAGGGCCGGGAACCGGGCGGCAAACGGCGCATCGCCCAGCCAGCAGTCCTTCCAGAAATCCGTGTTGCGCCCATCCCCGATCGACACCTTGGTGATGTGCTGGTACGCCAGGAGCAAGTCCTGGAGCGCCGTCCAGTGCGTGCCGTAGAGCGCGCCGCTCAGGTCCGCCAGGTTGACGTGCTCCGTGGCCCAGAGCCCCCAGGGCGAGCCGTCAGGGTGGTGAAGCCGGTGAAGAAGTTTGAGCAGCAGGCAAGCGTTCTGGGTGTCGATGCGCTTGATCCCTAGCCCGCCGTTTTCCTTGTCTTTGCAGACGTCCTCCCAGGCAACGAGGCATTGTACCCCAGAGGCCGTGTTTGTGCCCGTCCACAGGAACGCACGCCGGCGCGCTTCCAGAGCTTTGGCGACACCCGGCGGGAGCACCGTGGCGCCCATGGCGTACGTCGTTAGGCCTCCCAGCACGGTGTTGATTAGCACCACCCTGCCGCCAGTGCTCAGGAGGAGAGCCTTCCAACTGGCAATGTACCTGTCCACCTTGGCGATGAGCGGGGAGAAAGCCGAGATCGACAGCTTGACGTTGGATAGGGGGAGCCCCAGGTAAGTTGGGGGGAACTTCCCCTCCCTGCATTGTAGGAGCTCCATGAAGGACTGCAGGTCATCCGGGGGAACGTGCATCGGCGTGGTCGTGCTTTTGCCGAAGTTGATCACCAACCCTATGCAAGCAGAGAAGCTGTCGAGGGTGAGCTTCAAGCGCTGGACGCTCTCTATGTCAGCGCGGAGGAGGATGATGGTGTCGTCGGCGTACTGAAGCACAGGGGCAGTGCCGTCGGTCAGCGGGTGCTTGATCGCCGCGTCCGCTTTGATCATGCTTTGTAGGACGTCCGTGACGAGCAGGAAGAGGTACGGCGATCGCGCGTCCCCTTGTCGGAGCCCTGTCTTGCAGTTTATCCATGGCCCGAGGACTCTGTTTAGGAGCACCACGGACTTGGAGGTGACCAGGAGCTGGTGCATCCAGTCACACCACTTGCCGGGGGAGTCGCGCGCCTCCAAGATTTTGAGCAGGCTTGCCCAATTCACCGAGTCAAAGGCCTTCGCGAAGTCTAGCTTGATCACTAGAGTTGGTGCTCGGCGTTTGTGGCAGCACTTGACTAGCTCTGTGGCGAGGACGAAGTTCTCAGCGATGGAGCGCCCCTTGATGAAGCCGGCCTGGTCTATGTCTATGAGCTTGGCGATCTGCAGCTGCAATCTAGATGTTAGGATCTTGGTCAGGATCTTGATAGGGCAGTTTTGCAGCAAGACCGGGTGAAACACGGCTGGCGACATGGATGCCATCGTCTTGGGGATCAAGACGATGATTGCCCTGTTGATGCGCTGTAGGTCGGCCTCGCCACGGTGGAAGGCTTGTAGGAAGGGCATGATGTCGCCCTTGACTGTCTCCCAGGCCGCCGAGTAGAAGCCGGGCCCAATGCCATTAGGGCCGGGCGCGCTGTCCACCGACATGGCGCGCACCGCTCGGAGCGCCTCTTGTTTAGAGAATGGGGCGATGAGCGGCGTTGGGTCGGCACGCTTGAAAGCTCTAGTCTGGTTTTGGTGAATTGATGAAACCCTAAGTGCTAACCAAGTTTATCAAGTGATCATGAGATAGGTAGCACATTTCAAGTGATGAAGCAAATGAAGATCATAACATGATGATGGTGATGCCATGGTGATGATCAAGTGCTTGGACTTGAAAAGATGAAAGAGAAAAATAAAAGGCTCAAGGCAAAGGTATAAATGATATGAGCCATTTTGTTTTGGTGATCAAGACACTTAGTGAATGTGATCATATTTAGGATCGATAGTCGTACTATTAAGAGGGGTGAAACTCATAATCGAAATACGGTTATCAAAGTGCCACTAGATGCTCTAACTCATTGCATATGCATTTAGAATCTAGTGGAGAGCTAACACCCTTGAAAATATTTGTGAAAATATGCTAACACATGTGCCCAAGGTGATACACTTGGTGGTTGGCACATTTGAGCAAGGGTGAAGAAGATAGAGTTGAAAAGGAGTTAGTCTTGCTAGTCACGTAGTGACCGGACGCTGGGGTCCAACGTTCGGTCAGTAGAAGCAGTGGAAAAGCTGGCGTCGGTCTTCGACCGGATGCTGGGTCACTTAGTAACCGGACGCTGACGGGGTGCGTCTGGTCCTGCTGACGTGACAACGCACAGGGGAGTCGTCGTGTGACCGGACGCTGGGTGTGTCCAGTTGAGCATGACCGGACGCGTCCGGTCATGATTTTTTATTTCTGGATGTTTACTGGAAATGAGCGGACGCTGAGGTCCAGCATCCGGTCACTTCGTAGCAGCGCGTCCGGTCATCACTTGACCGCTGGGATCAGGCGCTCAGTATTTGAAGAGAGGGGACACGTGGCGTGCATCGCACGACCGGATGCTCGATCTAACTGGAGCGTCTGGTTACCCCATGTTGTGCCCAGTGAAGGGGTACAACGGCTCTATTTCATGGGGGCTTCTATTTAAGCCCCATGGCTGGCTCAAGCTCACTCTCTTGACCATTTGCATTGACATAGCAACCTTGTGAGCTTAGCCAAAGTCCTTCCACTCATTTCCATCATTGATTTATCATCTTTGTAAGATTGGAAGAGAATCCAAGTGCATTGCTTGAGTGTTTGCATCTAGAGGCACTTGGTGTTCATGTTTCGCTATGGGATTCGCTTGTTACTCTTGGTGGTTGCCGCCACCTAGACAGCTTGGAGCAGCGAGGATCGTCGAGCGGAGGTTGGTGATTGTCTCCGGCTCCGATCGTGGTGATTGTGAGGGGTTCTTGACCTTTCCCCTGCGGAGAGCCAAAAGGTACTCTAGTGGATTGCTCGTGGCTTGTGTGATCCTCATCTTGTGTTGGTTGTGCGGCACCCTATTGAGGGTTTGGCGTGTGATGCCAATTAGCGCGTGAATCTCCAAGTGAGTGAATCGCCACAACGAGGACTAGCTTGCCGGCAAGGAAGTGAACCTCGGTAAAAATCATTGTGTTCATCATTTGATTCCGAGAT